AGTCTAACGTCTATTCATACGTGTCATCCGACAATTATTGTCACGCTACAAAAGATTTTTAATAATAGTCAAAAGATAGAAATAATAAAAGACTTGAAAAAAGAACGAAATAGAAACAATCGAATAGCATAGAATAAAATGATATAATTGAATTTTTCTAACTTACAGATCAAACATTTCAATAATCGATAAAAAAATTTTGCAAATTTATTTAAGATATCTCCCGCCTCAGAAAATGTCAATTTTCATCAGAATTTCCAAAATTGAGATAAATGCATGGGAAGATAGCTCATCTTCTGCTCTTTCAGAAACGACATTAGTTTTTCTTTGGCATCTCTTTTTTGGCCAAGATTTCCATTAACCTATACTTGAAAAATATGCTTATTTTTAAAAAGACGAAAAAATATTTTTCGTTTTTTCTCGATTTATGACTTTTTTGATCTTCTGTCCAAAATTTCTCGATCCAGACTCTTTCAATACATCAAAATTTTTTTTTTTGTTCTTCAAGAGCATGTCAAGATGCAGAGCACCACAAAGTTCTTTTTATCAATTAAGTTTTATTTGTATTATATATACAGACAACTATGTAACTAGACACTGATTTTTTAGTCATTGAACTTGTGACCCCCTTTCTCCGCAAAAAAAATAAGAGTTTAAAAAAAGGACTCTGTAGTATCGCACATCCTTATATGCTCTTTCAAACAAAAAAAAAAATTTTAGATTTTACCATTGCCTCTCCACTTCAGTCCCAACATATCCTGAAAATTTCAGCCCGCTTCATTTGTCTTGATGCGAAAATCGATTTTTGAGGGGAAGGGAGCTTAACTTGTATTTCTTTCTTGTTGTGAAAATATAATGTCACTTTGTTACTATTTTCTATTGTATTGCTCAAAAAATAAATCTGTATAATAGTATTTTAAACACTAATCAATAATCTATAAAACAATGAAAATTAATAAATGCAATGTTTATGATATATCTTGAGTAGATGCATAACCGGTACAACAAAAGTTGTTTTTCTTTTTTGAAAATATTCGAATAGAGAAACTAATATATGACTGTTGATTTCAATTTTCTAAAAAATTTCTCTTAGACTTCATTTTAAATGACTTAATAGAAGAATTAAATAGGTTATCTTATGTGGTTCAGTGAACGGCATCAAATTTTCAGACATTTTTAGTAATGTTTTTTTTTTGTATTCTACAAAAGAATATTGACTTTTAAAAAGACATAATTGATTGCTAGGCAGCATTAGAAAAGATATCATTGATTAATTATAATTCAATATTTTTTAAACATTCTTTGTTTTTTTGATTAGATGGAAAGCGATATTTTCTTCATAGGTTGATTTATTTTGAAAATAAGTATTTTATAAATAGTATCTAGGACTAAACTAAGTTCATTTTTATAGAATTTTGTAGAAAAAATTTACTTGTTTTTTTATGTAAAATCAAAATAATGCTTTATAAAACAATTCCCTAGAGGAAAAGATCAAATACTATAAAAACGATAGCTTTCTCTTTTATTGTCGACATTCAAATAGAAAATATTTGTTAATCAAATATAGATTGTTATCAACTATTTTCCAGGTAAATCTTCAAGCACATCTGACGCAGCATTTCGATGGTAAATACGAAACCTTTTCAGCTGCATTCAACAATCTTAATCATATATCTTTAGAACTTAGATTTCACTTTTTATAGTTCATTGTTATGACAATGCTAATTGATACAAAATAAAGAAAAAGAAACTTGATTGGCTAGTTCCGACAATTCTATTTATTGAATCAAAGTTGATTAATAAAATTTAATTGATCATAATAAAACTTCCAAGAAATATTATAATCGAACTTTTATAATTAAACTATTGATGAATAATATCATAAGAATTATTAAAATGAATAAACATCCAAGGACAATTTCTTTATGAAAAAACACCATCTGTCATATAAAATTAATAGTATTGACAGTTATATTTCAACAACCAATAGAACAAAAACACGAGAATACCTGGCTAGACGGAGAAATATCAATAATCTCAAATATATTAGAAAAATAAAAAACAGTTCTAGTTATGTTTTACACCGATATCTTTCCTCACAATAATACCCAAGTCGAACGAGCACCTTCATAAACCACTGTAAATCGTCGTATTGTGGTGTATTACATGGTTCCGTATACAATACGAAGAAATATGATCGTAATACAGAACCATGTAATACACCAAAATACGATCCTATATGGCAAAATACGGAGTGTATAGGATCTTTTCCTACAGTAACCTACTGCGCGAAAGTCTTAGCACAAAATGTTTGTTCAGTTTTCTACCGCCTAGATGTCGTAGTAGAGAATGAAAGGTAGTCAGCTAGAGCCAGAATTTGATGCTCTTTCTAAATGTATGTTCAAAAATATTTTTTGACTTAAGACTGTTAACCAAAAGCAAATACTTGAATGAGCTCAAAATGGACGTCTGCACAAAATTTTTTCATATTACCTATTTTCATATTTTGATTAAAACGATAGAAAATCTTCTTATATACCACTTTGTAGAGTGAACTTCGCTCTGCAAAATGTACAATTTACTTCTCTTTTTACATGTAACAACAATGACTCAAAATCTGTTGCATTTTGAAAAAATAATGTTGAGAAAAAAATCATTTTTGATAAAATGTTATCTTACGTAGAGAGTAGCTCTTTGAAAAATCTCTGTAGGGTGTGGGTGTGGGTGTGGGTGTGGGTGTGGGTGGGTGTGGGTGTGGGTGTGGGTGT